AGAGATGTATCTATTTTGTGAAGAGCAAGAGAGAAATGAGACAATATCCTAGGGAAAATGATGCATGGAAACATAGATTTCAGTCCAGCGCTGACAGGCACAGACACCTTCTTGCTTCAGTGAAGCACCACAGCACTAATCTAGGCAGAAGAGTGGTTTTACGCCTTGGACTATTGGCAGTTACAAAACACCTGCAGAGCGCTCTGCCAGCTCAAGTCATCAGGAGTTAGAGGTGTCTGAAGGAATACCTATAACCAGCCAAGGGAGCTAATAATTCCCCAGGGCCCATGAGTCACACAAGCTGGAGGGGAGTAAAGACCTATAAGGTGTTTTGTCCAGGCTTATTTTAAATTTGCCAAGTGAAGGGGAGGTTATTGCATAGACTAACAAGTTTCACTACCCAGGAGATTTCTTGCTGTTAATCTCAAACTTTCCCTTTCCTCTCGCCCATAACTCCCAGCTAACGCTCCTCTCCCATGACTGCCTTCTTTGCCATTAACATTTTTCAAGCATAGTTTTACTGTCTTCTCCAACCCCACACAAACAGCAGGCACAGGAGCGAGGTCAATGCCCAAGTTCAAAGCACAGCACCAGGTGGGGAGGAGGTACAGAACTTCCATGTCATGTTTTCTTTTAACAGCAAAAAATTATGGGATGTGGGGTGAAGATTGAGATGAAGAGATGCAAAGAGGGAAAGTCCAGAGGACTGAGCAAGGGGAATCCTGTGTGTTTAGCATCCTAACAAAAACTGCCTCATCAGAGAGAGAAGAGAAGGGGTAACCTTAAACCCAACCCTGTTTCCCCCTAAAGCCCTCCTCATACATCCCAACGCAGAGCTTCCCCCGGTCCTCCTCTCAATAACCAACCTAGAAAGTTTCAATCCACATGGCACCTTGGCACAGGTCCCTTTGCCCTTCAAATCTGAGGTTCCTGCTGTTGCCTGAAGCTCCTCCTTCACCTGCCTGCCCAGGAGGTGCCCAGCTGCTTCCTCCTCTTGAAATTACTGAATGGATCAGATACCAGGTAGGTAAGAAATTGTATTTTAATTTACAAGCTAGCACGGGTGCTGCGTTTTGGGGACAAGGTAAGCAAATATGAGATTTATAAGGGACAGAAAAAAAGTGTTCTTATTGCTATAAAATAAATTTATGGGAACACTAGGTATAAATCTGCTCTATCCGCTTCTATGAAATGTTACAGAACTTTCCCCCACGATAGAGCTTCTCCTTGTAAGAAAACAACAGCACTGGCTTCAGCTATGTTCCTTGTCAGCACTCCAAAGAGAACCCCACCGACCTCTCAGAGCTTTCAAATAGAAGACCCTATTGTTCATCTACATTGGGTGGAAGAATGAACTTGATATCCACCACACACACACGTCCATACAGATACATGTGCACCAGAGAGCATGGGGAGATTTCTTCCCCATAATGGGTAAGAAACTGAAAGAGAGGAAAAGCCTTTCTGTGAAAGAAGGGGGGGCTGAAATTTTGAGGATGGTGAAGTGACTGTCCTGATTTGGTCTGATGATTCATTTTATAAGTGATCTCACTTGGTGTGCTGGATTTCAGAAAAGCAGAGTATACGGAGGGAAAGCAAAAGAAATCAAATATGGAAACAGACAGACCCAATCAAGTCACACTCATAGTCCTAGCTCACCTTCAAATCCCATTATTCAACTACAGCTAAATAAAAAGCTGTGTCAAACAATGTAGCTCTCTTCTAGCCGATATATTTGAATTAATAGAAAATGAAACTTTTATATTAGATTTATAGAGGAGAACACAGAAATATTAATTGAAAATTTTTTATAAATTAGAAAAAGCCCAAATACGCTTTAAGAAATAAAATATTTTTAATACCTAGCTCTCATCCTGAGGACTAGGCATTAAAAACTCTGTCAGATTTGACATTTATAAATCATTGTCCCTTTCTTTACCTATGGAGATTAATTTAATTTGTATTTGCATCTGAGACGTCCTCATGAGAGACCAGACCTCCCCAGTCAGGAGAACGTTATGGAGCTGGAGGAGATCATTACTGGCCAGTTCTGCCCGCAGAGCTCCCCGTCACTCCACCTAGCCAGCCTGCTCACTTCAGGCAGGACACAACTCACAGTCCAGCAGGTTTAAGTAAGATTAAAACCATTCAAAAGCCCAGCCATGTCAGCACTCCTAGCAGAACTGTCTTTACATTCTTCTTTCGAACAGCCCTTGGAACAAAATATAGATTAATGGATTTATTTAGGAGACCTCTTAACAATCTAAGAGTTAAAAGCAGCTTTCACACTCACTCCTTCCCTAGGCATCTGTGCTCCTGTGAGGACCATCACTACATTGCTCCATTGCCACAGTGTTCCCCTTCCTGAGCTTTGATGGAGGCAACAGAGCCTGAGGGTTCAAACCCCACCTGCCCACCCCACAGGGACAGAGGGAGAACTGGGGCTTCCTAACCTGTGGCCAAGCCTCTTGGGCATCTGCTAACCCCGGCCCGCCTCCAGAGCAGCTGCTGCTGCCTTCTTCCCTTCTCCAAGACAACAGTGCTAGCTGTCGTGCATTAACGATTCTCCACTTTTCCTCCCTCTGCTGGGATGCTACAGCATTGCCAGTATAAAAGGGTTTCCGAGACCCCTTAATTTCTGCGACTAGTGATGTGACTGCCCAAAGAAGCACCTGGGAAAGGGCAAAGGGTCCCTCCCTGCTGCCTCGCGCCTGTACCATGAAGAGAAGATTAGACACAGAGGTACAAAGCAGTGTGCATCCTCCCTTTTGCTGGTGTAGCCTCTGGGGACAGCAGTCACTCTTTGTTAGCTGAACTATATAAACTTAATTAATTTCTGGGTTGCTTTTTCTTGTTTTGTTCCAGAAGTCTAGGTTCAAGATTCTGGGCCTGACATTCCTTCCTTCCCACATGGGCAGCACATTTGCTGCTAGGCAGGCAACCTGGGAGACTTCTGCAGGTGTTTTAAACGATGACGTCTATACATGCGAGAAGAAAAATTTGACAGATGCAAAGAACGGTAAATGAGAGAAGCACATGAGCTAACGATGGCCATTCATTTCAGATCCATAACGCAATAATTATGAAAGGCTTATGGTTGTTTTTTTAAAAATGGGCTAGTGGCCACATTTAGAGCTGGTGAATGCCAGCAGGATCCCTTCAGTGGGTAGGCTGGTTGATGCACACCCTTGAAGGGGTAACAGCTTTGTTCCCATCTGCTTTTTTTATAGCAAAAATTATCTGTGTAAGGTGACTCGATTTCACTGCCTTGAGAAAAGAGGTGTATTTTTCTGGCAACTGTACGTATAAAGGAACTACAGTGCAACTATTACAAAGAAAAGAAGCTGCATGGAAAGTCTGTGCTATAGCTATGACCTTGGATCAGACATACAGTTTGTTTTTGAAAAAAGACTGGAAAACCCACAGCTTCCAAACTTTCCAGAAACAGTTTCTGGAAGAAAAACAAATAAGCAAACCCAAACGAATGAAAATCAGGTTATCGGATTATTTTCAAAACAGATGTGTTTCAGGCTGTTAAAGGAAAGCAACCAAGAAATACAGATGTGCACAAAACTAAATACGTATTATCCAACATACACTGTAGTACATGGAAAATCGCGATCCACAGGCATCTGCAAGAATTGTCTTCAAACTGTATGGAACAAATGAAAGTTGCAAGACTTCAGATCTCTAGGACACCTCAGGAGCCTGTGAAAAAATGCTCTGCATTTAACTGACAGCCAGCAGGATTATTTTATGCCAAGCGTTCATATTAAACACTTTTTTATACAACATTTTGTACATGGTTTTCAAATTCGTGCTTTATTGAAGAACTTAAGTCAAACAAAACATCCTAATCATAAAAAGTTTCCAATTTTAGTGATTATCTGAACTCAAAAGCCAGAAGGTGGTTTAAATAAAATCAGATGGGCAATAGGTAAATACACATATGTGCACATTCACACATGCACATGCATGTGATGGAACTCAAAACTGAAACCAGACAATTAACAGATGCTGTATCACCAGATGCCTGTATTAAATTAATGATTTCCCCTTCTCCTAAAATAAATAAAATCAAAAGCTACATGGGGGGAAAACCCCCACACATTAAAGATAAAATCTGGGCTTCAGGTACTACGTATGAAGTTTGTACCATCATCTACAGGAGTTCAGTATAACATCAATTCACTCGATCTTACAAATAAAGACTGCCTATTATGCAATGCATTTGACTGCGAAAAGGTTAAATTACTAAATCCTTACTGGATCCTTATTACAGATACAGACACAAAACATGCGTATGTTGTATCGACATGAGTCTCTCTTACCAAAGAGCATCATTTACTTAAAATAATTAAAACAATAATTAGAAGCTACACAGAAGACTAAGTAAATGTTATTAAAACACAAGGTAGTTGCTAATGCCAGCAGCTCCATGGTATAAGCCATGCTGCTTTCAACATACTCAATTCATTAACACAGGAGAAAAGCCAGAAACTAAGGGAAATGCAGACCATCTGCTCCATCCAGATGCAGTAGAACATGCTTCTTACCTCCAAAGCTATTTGCCAGCGACAAACCGAGGTAAGATCAGTTTAATCCTCTAACCACAGATCCAAAAAAATGTCTGGCATCTTATCATCATATGTAAAACTGAACTATATTCATCTGAATTGAAACTTTTGCCAGTTTTTCTCACCTTTAGCATCTCTCATCGTATAAACCAATTCTAAGTAAAAGAGATAACCTAGATACAGCAAAAGTTACTGAAACAAATACGTGCACACAAGGAACGAGCAACAAAATCCTCGTTCTTCTGCTGTTATATTCTAAAGATGTCTAATTGATTTAACCGGCAATGAGACGCAACTGAAGCATTTAAGTTCCCAGAAGTCACAGTCTGCATATACATTATTTCCTCGCAATACCAGACCCGTTTGAAAGTAAAAACTGTACCCCCTGTGCCTTAAAAAGACATAAGCAGCGTCATTTCTTACCTTGAAGTTATGAATCTTCTCGTATTTCGGAATATGCTCATTTTCTTTCAGAGTTGCTCTTCTGACAAGTGATGTCAACTGTGAATAAGCAAAGAGTTTAAGAGGTTGCCAGATTGTCACAGACGACTTGCGAGCACCCAGTTTCATCCCCAAGGCTGCTATCAGTAAATCTTGCTGACGGCTCTCCTGCTTCGAGCTGCGCACCGCGGACCTGTTCGCTCTGTGCCCTGGCCAGGACTCTCTGGACGGCATGCTGGAGCCGACGGGAGCGGGGGACGGCCCCGGACCGACCTGTCTGCGCCCTGCCTGTGTCAGACTCGAGCTGACAAACCCAAAGGGACCATTTCGGGAACCTAAACTGCCGGGAAGTGCGGCGCGGCCATGGCGGGGCACTTGTTCACCGCGGGGCTAACTCGGCGAGGCGGCTCCCCGGTCGCTGGGGGCTCAGGCCTGCCGGT